CTCTCATCCATTCCCCAAAAACTTCGGCTTGGTCGTTCGAAGGCAATGTCAAAACCAAAGACACCATCGATCCTTCTATGAATTCGCAAAGATCTTCATCCATTCTGTATTTAGATTCAGATCCCTCTGCATCAACCAAACTCTTTAGTCTCCTTATGAAAGGCAACCATACTTTCAGAAGGCAAGCTCGGCTTCTAGAAGGAACAATCACGATGCCATAACCTACGGCTTCTAAAACCTTCCCTGTAACCTCAACTAGCTTCACTTTCACACCCAATATCCGAGAATCTAACTTACAATTCTGAGCAACCATAAGAATCTCATTCGATACATCAGTCCACTTAAAGACAAGATCTTTCATCAATTCCATCCTCGGCAACACTTTACACAGCCACTCGATATCATGGAGTGTATTAAGAACACAACACTCAGTACATTCAGGAAGAAGAACAAGCAAGGACGATAATTTGTCCAATAACATCGATATAACATTCGAGATGCCTAATCTTACGACCGATTTCACTTCCTCTTCAGAAACCAGTAACCGTACCTCTTCATCGTCAGACAACATGAATTCCACTTGTTCTTGAGCAGAGGTTTTGAGTTCATGAACAAGCTCAGGAGAATTCTTCAGTGTGTCAATGGACATGGCGAAACGGAGAGCTGACGTAAAGACATTCTTGGTGTTGAGGGATTCATCAATGGAAGCTTCCTGCATTTTAGGATGTTCTTGAGTTAACCTGCAAATTCAGATCAAAGAAACAGATTTTAAGAATTACCAATAATCCTAAACCGAATTAGGAGCTATCAAAGGCAACACATTTCTATAATCAGCAGCTCTAATTACAGAAACAACAAACCCTAAGAAACACAATTCCCAAATTCGAGTATACTAAAAGTTGTTAAATTTCATCAATTTTCTCCACTTAGAACGGTAAATGAGTAATACAGATTCTTGATCTGCTCTACACATCAAACACTAAGAACATCTTACCACACAATCTGAAAGCAAGAGAAGAACCCTAAATAGCATTGATGAGCTCTGTTTTTGTCAATCTAATCAGCTTTTAGAACATTTGTAAAACAAGGGTGAGATTTTTGGTAAAATCAAGAGAAATGAAACAAACAAAAAAAAAACTCACTCTTTCTCCAAAAAAATATCTTCCTTTTGATGTCACAG